ATGTGCTTTGATAATCCAGACTAAATATAGATGCTTATTTAATGTTAGAAATATTTCTTATTGTTTAAGCTAGAATGATAAATATTAGCTTGTCCTTCTTAGAGACAGTTGCTAACCGAGGTTGATCATCCCTAGCCCAGAAATCCAGAACCTGAAATTTGGCAAAATCTGATATGAGGCCACTTGTAGAAATTCCACAGTAGGAAACTTAAGTTAAGGCCAGGCATGATGGCACACATCCTGAATCCCAGCACTTGGGGTAGGGAGGTGGCTGGGTTTGGGGGGGAGACAGAGAGGCAGGTGGATTTCCGCTCATTAGAGGACAGCCAAGCTACACAGTAATACCATGTCAAATAAAACCAAACAAGAAAACATACTTAAAGTGTAGATAAATGATCTTCAGGCTATATGGGTAAAGTAAACATAAAACATAAACGGACTTAATGGCTAGACCTAATCCCATCCCCAAGCCAATTTACTATGTACACACATCTTCCAAAACTTGAAGACTTACCAAATCTAAAATGCTTCTGACCCCAAGCATTTTATTTTATTTTGGAGTCATGTGCGCATGCAGATGAGTAGTTGGCTGCCTTTCCCCATCGTCCCCCATCTTATCATTTTAAATATCAAACAGAGCAAGTTTTGTATTGTATTATGACAATATGAACAACATGGCCCTACATCTACGAGCTAGAATTTATATTCTTTATGTTTTATGGAATGTATAAAAAACTCGACTATATGTTACGTTCATAAGGCAAATCTCATTACATTAAAGAGGCACTTGTATCGTAAAGGCTACTTTTTAATTTAATTTTTTTTTTAAAAATCTGTGTATGGGTGTTGTCTTAGTCAGGGTTTCTATTCCTGCACAAGCATCATGACCAAGAAGCAAGTTGGAGGGGAAAGGGTTTATTCAGCTTACACTTCCACATTGCTGTTTATCGACAAAGGAAGTCAGGACTGGAACTCAAGCAGGTCAGGAAGCAGGAGCTGATGCAGAGGCCACGGAGGGATGTTACTTACTGGCTTGCTTCCCTTGGCTTGCTCAGCTTGCTTTCTTATAGAACCCAAGACTACCAGCCCAGGGATGGCACCACCCACAGTGGGCCCTCTCACCCTTGATCACTAATTGAGAAAATGCCTTACAGCTGGATCTCAAGGAGGCATTTCCTCAAGGGAGGCTCCTTTCTCTGTGATAACTCCAGCTTGTGTCAAGTTGACACTAAGAACCAGCCAGTACAGGTGTTTTGCCTGCATGTTCGTTTGTGTACCATGTTCACGCAGTCCTTGTTGAAAACAGAAGAGGAATTTCTAGGAACCGGAGGTGCAGATGATTGTGAGCCCCTATGTGGGTGCTGGGAATTGAACCCCGGGCCCTCTGAAACAGGATTTCTGAACCTAGAACTCATTATTTTGACAAGACTGTTTGGCTGGTGGAATCCATGCTTTTCTTGTCTGCACCTTCCCAGGGTTATATCACTCGCTCCCATGCCAGGGTCTGTTTGTCTGTTGACTTAGGGACTGATCTAGAGGTCTGGCCAGCCTGGCTCATTTGAAGTCTCCTGGGCATTGCTTTCCTGAGCTGCCGAGTCTAAGGCTGCCTTTGCTCATGTACATGTGGCACAGGTTTCTTTAGGTTTTGTTTTTTTAATTTCCAGCCAGTGCCAGTGGTGTGTATGTACAGCACCTGTTGTATTTCTGTCCCTGCCAAGCTGGGCCAGCTGGGACACATCTGCATTAATGCCCATTCACACAAATGAACAGGCTGAGCAGCTTTATGTGTAAGAGCCTCTTCAGGGCAGCTGGCAGGATGTGTGCCAGCCCTGCACTTTGGATTCCTGTACCTTCTCATTCTGGCCCAGTTCTGATACCTGCAGCCTGTTTGGTGTGGCTGCAGACAGATGTCAGGGCAGAAATGCCCGTTCTGAAGTGCCAACCAGGGGTAGCTTTGCCACACCTGTCCTGTACAAGTGGCTGCTGGGTGGTGAGAAGGCGTTTCCAGCATGGACATTTTGGTAAACTACAAAATCTCCAGACCTACAGGCCATCGATACAGAAGTACAGTCATTTGTATTTCTGGGGCTTGATAAATTAATGCCAGATACATAGAATCTTGAAACAAATGCATATTTTCTGTCTTTGAGCCCAACCCTATGAAATGGTTGGTTCTAAGAGCCAGAGGTCAGTGAAGACTGGAGTTTTAAAAAGCAATTTCACAAATAGCCCTGGTTTTGTTTTATTTAAAATCTTATTGATACTAGTTATTTCATTTCATTTCTCTCATTTTTTTTTAAAATAAATGCCTAAGAATTTCATAAGGAATCTCATTTTATTCCAGGAAATTCATGGTCACACTCATAACACTCCACAGTGAAACTGTTGGGGTTTTTTTTTTTTTTTTTTTAATCATTTAGAAACTGTTGGTTTCTAATGCGCTCCTTGGCCAGGATATCAAAGTCATGTAGAAGAAAAGGATGCCTGCCGAGCTGCGAGCTGTTTCATGTACCTCACTGGTCCTCACCCTAAGCACCTCATAACTCTTTTCTCACGCTGGGTTTAGGGAGTAGAAAAATGATAAATTTGCTGTTTCCCGATACACTTATCGGCAGCTTTGTTGACACGATTCTCCTTTCTCTAACGAAGTTGGTCATTGGATGCACCCGCACAAGACTCAATTCTGCAGTGACCTCGCAGAATGTCGAAGACCTTGTGTGGGGTCACCTGACAGGAACTTGATTTGACATTCATTAGTTCTACTGGTTCTGACCTTTGGCTTTCCCTCCCATTATATGGAGATAGATATCTACATTAAAAATAAGGAAAGAGTTGCATGTATTTTATAAACACAGGACTTGACCTCGTGAGAGCATGGTTCAAACTGTGGACCAGTTCTTGTTCTCCACAGGCAGCACTAGGACCCTGCTTCTGTAGGGTCACTCGATGTCCCACAGTGGATCTGGCAGGTGATGGTTCTTCAAGGACTAGTGTTCCACGTAAAGTTATTTGATTCTCAATGAAAATGTCATAACACGCCAGGCTGTGGTGGTACACACCTTTAATGTCAGCACTAAGGAGGCTGACGCAGGCGGATCTCTGTGAGTTTGAGGCCAGCCTACAAAGCAAGTTTCAGGACAGCCAGGGCTGTTATACAGAGAAACCCTGTCTTAGCAAGACAAACAAAAGTCATAACACAAGGAAGGGGAACAGCAAGACATAAATACTGAGAAGAGGGAATGGGAAGTAATGGGAGGGATGTTTGGATGTTTAAAAGTCAGCATGGTAGCAAACAACCCTATAAATTCATCTCTCTACATGTATAGATCAGTACAGCTCTCGGACCTACCTGGAAAAGTCTCTTTGTGCAGTAGATGGCAGTTAACACAGAAACTGTTAATTTTCTGGCCAGAGTACAGAGAATGGCTATCTATGGAGTTTTCAGCCACACGGATACATCTATATCATAAACCTCCCCACGAGGCTCAGAGATCATCAAGGAAAACAATATGAAATGGTTGGTTCTAAGAGCCAGAGGTCAATGAAGACTAGGGGATAAAGTGTCTTCTAGACACAACAGGACTGAGATATTCAGCCTAGCATGGGGAGGGCCTCAGAGGCCCGGATCCCTAACCAAGAAGCTGTTGACAGTTAATGACTTCTGGGGGAGGGAGAGTTGGTTCTCTTTAAGGGTAGGTCTACGATCCAGTGGATGGCCTCACCCATTTGTACATGGGCAACACAAATTAGATTCAGTAGATTATTTTTATTTTTAAAAAGACACAAAGTTGGGAGAGGTGGAAAATGGTGAATCTAGAAGGAGTTAGGAGAAGGAGTGGGATGGAAATATAATCAAAATGCACTGCATGCATGAAGTCTTGAAGAATTAAAAAAATCAACATTCTAACGTGATGGACAGCACTTGCTAATGCTTTATAGCTGTTCCTATGTTCCAGAAACACTCTGTATCAGTGACCTCTCCTGTTGTGCTGGAGGACTTCCTAGTTGATCTTTTCACAGGGGTCATCTATGACTGCTAGAAAACACAGATATTTGCATTATAATTCATAGCAGTAACAAAATTACAGTTATAAAGTAGCAAGAAAATAGTTTTGTGGTTACAGGTTAAAACAAGAGAAAATGTATTAAAGCATTACAAAGGTTGAGAACCACTGCTCTAGAAGGTCTCCAGAGTAAGCAAATTAGCATGCTAGAAACTTACTGGCACTTAGAGGTCTTATTTTGTTGCTGTTATTACTCTTTTGTCCTGGTCAAACAGTTACAAGCAGAAAGTTGTAAGCCATTGTGTGACTCGATTCTCTTCTGATTGAAGTAGATTGGTTACTGGAAAGGCTTGGGTAGAAAATGAAGGCTAGTATAGGGAATTCAGAGCCAGTAGGAGTTCTGCATGTATCGTATAGGTAAGCAGAGTTTACTAAACTTTGTTACATTTATTTTAGTTTTGTGTGTGTGTGTGTGTGTGTATGTGTTGCACAGAAGGCAGTCAGAGGACAATTGTAAAAGTTGGTTCTTGGGGCCTGGAAACTCAGGTCTTCAGGCTTGGTAGCAAGTACTTTTAAACACTCAAGCATCTCTCTGGGCCTGTGGTATCTTTTTAAAAAGTGGTTCTTTTAGGTTGGGGAGATGGCTCAGCAGTTTTACGTTACGAACACTGGCTAATCTTCCAGAGGACCCGGGTTCAATTCCTAGTACTCACATGGCAGCTCACAACTGTCTGTAACTCCAGTCCTAGGGGATCCAACACCCTCTTCTGACTTCCACGGGTACAATGCATGTATGCTGTGCAGAGACATCCATGCAGGCAAAACATCCAAACACATAAATAAAATAAAGTGGTTCTTTTAAAAGATGAGTAACATTCAGTGCTTCATGTGGACAAAGAGTGGCGCTCACATCGCTATATAGTAAGTAAGGAGTGGTCTTTAAGACTTTGCGTGTTAACCATGTCTTCCCTCTTGTCTTTGACTTGCACCCTTCAGAGATAAACACGCCTGATGAGAGCCATGGCAATCAAGGTCCTACCCGAACACAGGATGCTGCTCTTCAGCGTCATTCTCTTCCTAGGCCACTTGGTAAGTTCCCACTTTGCTTTCATATGACTATAGAGAAAGAACTCCTGTCAGAGCCCCAGGTTATGGGGCTACAATCTCAGCTCTTGAGGCTGAGGCCAAGAAGACTGACTGCAAATTCATGGACTCATTCAGAGAGCAGCCTTTCTTCTTAGATGAAAATGAAATCAACGCCACACCCAGGCGGTTTTTAGTCTCAGGTGTATGTCCACGCCAAGATGGTTTTTACTCTCAGGTCGTATGTGAGCAGCCCTGTAGATGCCATTTCTGTCTTACAAGATGGTTTTTGCTCTCAGGTCGTATGTGAGCAGCCCTGTAGATGCCATTTCTGTCTTACAAGCAGCATGAGCAGTAGAGCTGACGATGACATTTAGGGAATGGTTTTTCTTTTGCAGTCATGGAAAGTGAATTGTGAAACTGGAGATTGCAGACAGCAAGAATTCAAGGATCGAGCTGGAAACTGTGTCCTCTGCAAACAGTGTGGACCCGGCATGGAGTTGTCCAAGGTACATATCAAGTACATGCTTGTGCCTCTGTCCCACGGTTCCAAATTGTGTTCTTTTAGTTGACTGTTAGCAACACTCTGGGTAACATGACAGAATTCTTGGCTCATTTTGCCACTTTAGAGAGAGATAATAGAATTCCCCTCTAATCCCTGCTTTCCCTGATTTGTTTTGTTTTTTTGTTTTTTGTTTTTGGGTTTTTTTTTTTTTTTGAGGTAAGTAGATTCTAACAACCAGAATTTTACAAACACTGTGGATGTATATAACTTAGTATTTCAATCACAGAATGTTTTGGGGTGTTAACTATAAAGAACCAATATTCTACTATAAACACAAATAACTAAGGGTGAATAGTAGAAATAGAAATACTACCATTTTCTGAGCCTTCTTTTTCTTTTTTAAAAGATTTATTTATTTTTATGTATATGAATACACTGTAGCTGTTTTCCGACACACATAAGAAGAATGCATCGGATCCCATTACAAAGGTTGTGAGCCACTATGTGGTTGCTGGGAATTGAACTCAGGACCCCTGGAAGAACAGTCAGAGCTCTTAACTGCGGAGCCATCTCTCTAGCCCCAGCCTTCTTTTTCTTAAAAATTAAAATTAACGTTACCATTGTTAATGGAATGCCAGGCCAGGTATTGAAGGAAGCCAGTGTTACAATCTTACACTTCAGCATGAGGTTTTAAATCTTGTTCATTAAGAAATCCCCCTCACAGCTGCTTATATGGGAGTTTCTCCTCTTGGCCTCTTCTAAGCTAAACACCCAGCATTTGCTTTATTTTCTGATCCTTTGAAGATGTTACTAGTTGAGGGGAACTGGTGTAATGTTTTGTTCTCAGTGATGCATCAGAGCCTTCTTTTAGAAAAGAGACAATGGGTTTTTGTTTTTATGGAGAGTAAGTTTTAAATGGAGAGCCTGCTCCCCTGCAGACTCCTCTTATTTAAATCTGAGTCTTATCATCTCTCATGAGTTTTTGATCAATGATCTACAAACAGCAGGAAACAAAGAATTATGCATTCCACAAGTCCCATACCAGAGGGCTTTTCTTGCTGGTTGCTGTGCTAAGTGGTGCCTTTAGAGTCCTGACTTTACATCTGGATTGAAATGGCTTCCAGCTCTCTGATAGCTAGTTAATTACTACATCTTATCAGAAAGGTTTCAGTCTCACTTGACTGTAGTAACGATTATTTCAGATCTAGGGTCTGCCATATTGGGTAGACAGTAGGTCCGCTTCCACCCCTTAGGAAAGATGAATGGAACTTCATGGATCTGAGATGAGAAAACCCTATCTAAAAGTTTGTTTTCTTATCTTCGTCTTTTGACTGTAGAAAATATAAAATAAATATCTAGAGAATCAGACCAGAAGATGAAGGTTCAAACAGCTGTAAAGTTTTTAAATGGAAGGGGGAAAAAAATCATTCCACAGTCTCTGGTTGCACAGATCAGGGGCTTCTCTGCAGCTGAACAAACTCAAGGATCAGCTGCTCTGAGATCTCTAAGAGAAGTGAACCCTTGGGAGTCAGGCAGATTCAACAATCACAACACCCGCCTCGAAACCTCCCTCTGGGGCAGGAAGCTGGAACTGTCCTTGACAAATTGCCAAAGCCTTGGTGTGGAGAAGTCAGAGGATGCAGAGCTCTGCAGCCTTGTATAGTGTGGCCTCTCCACTTTATACCTCCAGGGTACCAAGGGGATTCTCATGACGCAGCGCAAGGAGAATTAATTCCTCTTCCAATGAGGTGGGCTTCAGAAAGGTGCCAGAGCAGTGTACTCTTGAGAAGACCCACCCTTGGGAAAAACTGGAGAGTGACTAGAGCCAATATTACCGGAGCCTAAGTGACATGGGAGAGGGAAAGACCAGAGCCACCTCACTCTAGTTATCCTCTCTCAGAAGCGATGGAGAGAGGAAGTGAGGGAGTGGTAAGGGTGAAGGGGCAGAGGGAGGGGTGTGTATGTATGTGTGTGTGTGTGTGTGTGTGTGTGTGTGTGTGTGTGTTCCTGTATGTGTGTGTTCCTGTGTGTATACCTTGAAGGTCATAGCCCAGGGGCACAGACTCACAAGAAGACAGACATAGTAAGAGGGCTAGGGATGACTTCTCAGATCCCACAGCTTTCCCACAGTAAAGGCCTATATAGAATAATCCCTTTTACCCAGTTCATCAGGTATGATTTATAACAACAACAAAAATACAAAGCACAAGAAAAAGCATACCAAAGAGCAAAAGCTTAATTTCAGAGACTGAGCAAACATAGGACACAAATGTGCCAGAAGAATTGGTATTATCATAAAGAGAATTTAAAAATAGCTGTAGCTGATGTGCTGTATAGGATGAAATGGGCATTTTTTGGGATAGATGGGTAGTGTAAGCAGAGGTGGAAAGCCTTAGAAAGAACTCAAATAAATAAACAAAAGAATGCTTCTACTGGGCCACTGGTAGACTAGGTACCATGAAGGAAAGGATCTTGGACCTTGAAGAATTATCAACGGACACCTCTGAAACCAGGAACCAAAGCAAAGATTAAAAAGGGAAAGTCTTAAGTCAAGGGAGAAGAAGAAGAAACTCCTTATCTATAAGGTCAGAGATGGGAGTGGATCTGACTCCTCAGCGGTTGAGCATGTGAACAAGAAGAAAGCAGAGCGAATGATGGAAAGTGTTTAAAGAAAAAAGCCTACCAGCCCAGAATCTTGTGTGCTATGAAGTTGTCCTTCTAAATTGAAGGAGAATGCAGGAATGGTGACCCTGGGGTGTAATCCTGTCCCTTGAAAGGCTGAGCCTGTGGGATCCTGAATTTAAAGCTAATGTGCACTGCACTACACAATGAGTTCCCAGTCTCAAAAAAAGGAAGGGAGGGAGGGAGGGAGGGAAGAGAGGGAGGGAGAAAGGAAGGAAGGAAGGAAGGAAGGAAGGAAGGAAGGAAGGAAGGAAGGAAGGAAGGAAGGAAGGATAGATAAAAAGTTAAAGGAAGCAGGACCCTGGGAGAATGGAGGCTGACTGAGCTGTGAGCAGCAGCAAATCCTCCAGGAGAGCAGAGACTTCTGCACCCCTGTATTAGAAGCCCGCAGCGCACCCAGCAGACTCTTAGCAAGGTCATGGCTGACAGCAACACCTCCATGAATCAAGCTCCGTGTCACTGACATTCTCTGGGGCCAGCAGAATATTCATTCGCCTCAAGCTTTCGTGAGAGATTCAGGAACCTGGACCACGTGTCAGGTTGTTCAATGCTTCCTAACACATTTAAAAGAATATTTGAAATGTATATGTGGTCTGTCCATCCACAGACAGAACAATACAACAGAAACCAGGGGCAGGAAGATAGTTGGAAAAGTCCTCTAGTGCTTGCAGATGAAAAAGCACCATGAGAAATAACCCACAAGCCAGAGACAGAAGAAATGTACTTTTCCTGAGAAAATGACAACAGGCTTACAAAATCGTGTGATAGAAACGAAGCAGTACATAGAATAGTGCACGATTAATGCGTTTATAAGAAAAGAAAGATCTAAAGCCACTGTCTCAGCTTCTGTGTTAGGAAACTAAAGAACAAGTCAAGTCCAAACTGAGAAGAAAATAGATAGTAACAACTAGGAAGGTGGAGGACAGGAAACCGAAAGGGAAAATTAACAAAAGCAAAACTTGATTCTTCAGAAACATTAAAAAGAACAAATAAAGAAAAACCAAAGATACCCCTGTAGCCAGCCTAAGTGAGGAGCTAGAAAACAGGACATATACCACAAATGTCACAAATGAAGGAAGTATCACTGCAGATTATGGACATGCAAATTTGGCATCTATAATCTCACACATAAAATATACCAAGTCTGTGTAAGACACAATCTTTTAAAATATACAAGAGAAAGCAGTTTCTGAGTGCCTTTATCTGCTGATGAGATCCACTCAATAATCATTAGTAAACTGCCCTTGCCATGCAGAAAGTACCAAGGCAGGAGTTCAGTAGTAATCAAGAAATTAGACCAGTGTTCCCAGGCTGTCCTGTAATGTAGACGTGGAGAGTACAAACTGACTCGGTGAGTATCAGGTTAGCAGCACATAATATCAAAATCAGATAAAAACATTACCAAAACCCAGGAAAGCCACAGAGCAATAAATCTCATGAACATGGACCTGAAAATCTTCGACAGATATTTAACAATTCATGCCTCCTCCAAAAAGCCGTACCTTCTAACCCTTCCCAAACAGTTCTACTGACTGGGGACCAAGTATTCAGACATATGAGGCTATGGGGCCATTCTCTTTCAAACTACCACACTGGGAAAACAGATCCCATAGGACTCTGAAGTACATAAACTCTCTTTGAGGTTTCAAAAAGCTGGTGCTGTGACCAGTGCTTTCTCTGCTCTTGTTTGTGGGTGAGGATGTGAGCTCTCAGCTGTTCCTGACACCTTGCTCTGCTGTCACCAGACTCTGGTGCTCTGAAACTATAAGCCCAAATAAATGCCTTTTGTAAGTTGTCTTGGTCATAGTGTTTTGTCACAGCAATAGAAGAGTTACTAAGACACCTAGGTTTTCCCTAAGCATTGAAACAGCTACCCAACCATACTATACCCACAATGCTCTGGGAGCAGCACCCCCAATGCCTTGGTGTGCATGGTGCTGCATAGATATGTTAGCACATAGACATGTTAGCACATGACCTGTGGTGTTCCCTTGAGAGTGGCAATTCCTGTCAGTACAGTTTTGTCGCCTTACTATCCAGCCCACTCAGTCCCCTAGTACAATATGTTTGCCCAGGGGTTGAATGAATTCATCCACCTTGGGTATTCTTTTTTTAAGATACCAACATCTAACAGTATGCACATTAATAAATTTGTATACAAATAATATATTTCATAAAGTCTTTAAGTCTGTTTTTTTCCCTGTGAATAAAATTAATAATAAAAGACTTAGATTTTTATTTAAAGAGTAAAATAAAATTTGTTTTCCCTAGCTCTGAGAGCCATTGGATGACCTCACTGTTTTAGGTCATTCATTTCACCTT